AGAAGGTGTGGTCTTCTTTATAGAACTTCTCCAGCATCATCCAGAATTTCTCAATTTCCTGTTGATCATTGTTGGATGTTGGTGCATAGACAAAGATAGAAACTGCCGGCAGTAAACCACATCTATTCAAGCATAAGCATCTCGTTCAGGATGTTAGGTATTTGTATGAAACAATGCTCACGGCCAGGTTGGTTTTGAAAACATCAACAAGGAATACAATCAACTGGTCCAGCACCTCCATGTTTGTGCGAGGAATGACGAGAAGAAAGAACCACAAAAAGATTCCTGTCTTCGAAAACTCTCGATCTCATTATCCAATGTCATTTGGCGCGCGCCTCAGGTTACCACAAGCTAATGTCCAAGCCCACAAAACTGCAGAGAAGCAGTAAAGGAATACCTCAAAGAGAGAAGAGCAACAGTGAGAACATCATGTGATGACTGGAATGGGAAGGAATGGGAGTAAAGATAGATGGTTAGCAAATACACCACCTCCACTTCTCTGATGACATCGTTCTAATAACACCAAACATTATCCAAGCGACACAAATGCTGGCCAATTTCAGCTGTGAGTGTGGAACAGACTGCAGCTGAATCTCATGAAGACAATGTTTATGAAAAATGGACAAGTTCCTCTTGTTTCATTTTCTCTCAACAGAATGAACATCTCCAAATGCAGCAGTTATATGTACCTAGGTCGAGAAGTCAACATGACGAACTACCTGGTACCTGAGCTACACAGGAGGAAGAGAGCAGCATGGAATGTCTTCAAGAGCATCGCAGAAATAGCTAAGAGAACGAAGAACCTCCGGCTCTGGGCACATCTCTTCAACTCCATCATTCTTCCTGCACTAACATATGCCTCAGAGACCTGGGCCATATGAAAACAGGATGAGAACTCTATTTGGGTCACCCAAAGAGGAACCGAAAAAGCTATGCCTGGAGTATCACACTTCACTCAAGTGAGAGAAGGTATCTGGAGTTCTGACCTTCGTTGAAGATCAAGAATCAGGGAGGCTGTCTCATTTGCCAGGAATCGAAAATCAGATGGGCTGGACATGTAATGCTATTTGGAGATGATTGCTGGACTAGAGCTGTTATAGACTGTATTCCACATGATGTCAAAAAATGGGTGGCTGCTCCCCTATGAAGTAGTCAGACTTCTTCAAAACCCTAAATGAATGGTTTGAGGGACTAGAGCTGTTACAGACTGTATTCCACATGATGTTAAAAGAATGGGTGGCTGCTCCCCTATGAAGTAGTCAGACTTCTTCAAAACCCTGAATGAATGGTTTGAGGCTCTTTTTGTTCCTGGAGGAAGCAGACGATATTGGGCTACAGTAGCACAAGACAGGGATGAATGGAGACGTTACTGGTTCTTGCTCGAGCAAATCTATGAGTCATGAGGTTTTGAGTGGTAAAGGGAAGAAAGTATTTGAGACAGAGGAATCAGCAAGAGCAAAAGCAGAGAATTTCTATTATAAGTAAAATCCAATGGAGGGATGAAGGCAGGCATGCTCAGAGGAGGGCAGAACCCACTGAGGCCTGAAACAGTCTGGATTAAATACACTTAGAGAGTCAAATAATGAAGGGACAAAATATCCATGATGTTAAGATATCTACGAATTGTCAGGCTTAGCTAAGAATCAGTGTGACACCCACCATTTTCCACCACAAAACCACCTATTAAATCCTGCTTTTTTAAAAATAGTTTCACATGAATATATATATATACATATATATATATATATACATAACATCATAACATGTGAGAAAATTAGCACTGTAGCATTGTCCTCCCATTGTTCATCAATTTGCTTGAGCGGGCACCGATAACGTCTCATAACAAATTGTGAGAATTGTAGTTACTGTTTTTGGCATATCGAATACGACACAGGTAGCTTGCCAGGCCTGCCATGTGGACAAGATACTCTCAGTAGCTTGCCACGCTCTCCAAGAGGGGTGGAGGAAATGAACCCGGGTCAGCCATATGAAGGCAAACACCTACTCACTGTACTATCACTCCAGCCCAAATACTCAATGCGTGTTAAAAATTCTACATTTAATGTTTAATATTTTTCATTTATATATAAGAAGAATGAGAGATAAAAATGACCACAAGAAATAATTATTTTAGTAGTTAAAATTCAATGAAATTCTCCTCCAAAGAGATTCCCATTAAGTTTTATATGCTGATGTCTTAAAAGCATGACTTCAATTTTCCTGCAATTTAACACTAAACTTTCAGACACATTGTCTTTGGTGTTAATTATCTTTTACAATCTACACTAAAGCAGTTATTTGATTATTGATTTATTAAAATATATATTAGCACCTGCTATATATAAATAACTTTTGTATTGTGTATTCAGCAATTAGCCAAAGAAATCTTTTTTTGGGGGGGTGGGGTCACACCCAGCATTGCTCAGGGATTCCTTTTGGCTCTGCACTCAGGAGTTACTCCTGGCAGTGCTCACGGAACTGTATAAGATACTGAGGATTGAACCAGAGTCGGCCGCGTGCAAGCAAATACCCTACCCACTGTGCTATCACTCCAGCCTGAAAGCCAAAGAAATCTTTAAAAAACAAACTGGAAAAAAGTAAGCAAATGTACAACTTTTATCTTGCCCGCACGACAAAACCTTGCAAGCTACCCGTGACGTATTCAATATGCCAAACACAGTAACAACAAGTCTCAAAATGGAGGGGTTACTGGGCCTGCTCGATTAAATCGATGAACAACGGGACGACAGTGTTTGTTTTTTGTTTGTTGTTATTAAAAATAATATGGACACGAGGAAGTAAAACTGGCAAGATTTGGGACATTGGAGGATCACAAAGTCCTATCTGACAAGGTCAAATTTTACCAGAGACATGAGTGACCTAAAGGAATGAGGCATAAATATTTCCTTCTCTGTCCTTCTCCCTAACTTCTGGGGTCCTAGGTGATCTAGACATCCCCCTTTACTACATTACTTTCTTATCCAGTTATTCTATATACCAAGATAAGTGAGATTTTGTGTTTATCTTTCCTTTTCTGTTTTACTTCCTTCAACATAATATTCTCCAGTTCCAACCAGGTTGCTGCAAATTGCTTGAGTCATCATTTCTTGCAGTTGTGTAGTATCCTATTGTGTATGTATTCATATCTTCAGATTCCATTCATCCATTGTTGATTGCAAACTATTGTGTGAAGTACAGCAATAAATGATGATGTACATATATCCTTTTGAATGACTGTCCTGTTGGTAGATGTCCAAAAGTGAAATTACTAAATCACATGGCAGCTCAGCTCTAAGTTTATTGAGGATTTTTCATACTGTTTTCCACTGTGGCCCTGAAAGAATTAAGTGAGGATTAAAGGTACAAGGGATTCTCTAAATCTCCCTTTAGCTCTAGGACAGTCCACCTTAGGTTTCTGGAGGCGGGTTCATCACTCTTTCCTGAGATTGGTCACTACAGCTGAAAGACCCACCCAGTGGAGGCCCACCCAGTGGAGACCCAACCAGTGGAGACCGACCCAGTGTTCTTTAAATGAGCTGGCCGACTCAGAGACCACACACTACTACTGCCAAGGCTGCCCTCACATAGCGTCCAGAAATCCACTGCAGACTGACCCCAGAGGAACTCAAGACCTTTACAACTGGCCAACCAGGTAAGCATGGGATTGAGACGATGTGGGGAGGCAGAACTTTGAAGGGACACATACTCTGGAGATTTCTGACCCTGCAAAAAAAAAAAATCTGCACCTATAAAGGAAAAACAGCACCTATAAAGGAAAAACAGCCTCTTTTCAGTTTACTGGAAAAGACTTTCCATCCATTACAAATTCCAGTTCCTCCTCCTTTCTCTTCTTTATCACGTATATTCTTGCTAAATTCAGATAGCAATTTTCAACCTGACCTAGATCAGACACAGTGGAGGAATGTGATGGACGGCTGTGGGACTGGGGATGCAGAGGGAACACAGTGACTGACACCTGGTATGTGATGGACCATCGGAAGGAGCTGGTTTGAGTCACCAGTCGAATCCCCTAGAAACACTCAGTAAGGAATATCAGACTGGAGGTGACTTTGGGATAGAACTAGACAGTAATGGATACTTTGTCAGTGAGAACACTGACTTTGTATACCTATTTCATAGCTTTCCACAGTTGTAATATTACATTAACCTTGTTATCTAAAGCATAACATTTTTATCTTTAAAGAAAGGGCCATAGAGGCATCACAAGATAGCACAATTGCCTTGTATGCATCTACCTATGGTTTGATCCAAGGCTTCACATAAGGTCTCCATGGCACATACACAAAGACACACACATACACTCACACACACACACACACAGAGAAAGAGAGGGAGAGAGTGATAGAGAGAAACAGAGACAGAAACAGAGACAGAGAGAGAGAAAGATAGAGAGAGACAAAGAGACAGAGAGAGAGATTGGAGTACAGTTTCGAATTGAAGTAAAAAAGGAAATCACTAACATGGAAATTGGCTTGTCAAGGGTGTGGTTAGAGACACATTAGTAGTTTTCTTTGAACATAATTGTTTTTATATCAATTTTTATCCCAATGTACCATCACCCATATTGCATCCTCAGTTAACAGTTTTTGGACAATATAGCAGGGTTAATTTAACTGGGGGTTGCCTATTTTCTTGCTTTGTTCCTTTATAATCCACATATGAATGAAATAATGTTCATTTTTTCTTTTTTTTAATTTGTTCTCTGGCATCGATCTGTGCTAAGGGTTTAAACTGATTTTTGAGCATCTATCTGTGTTCAGGGTTTACTCCTGCCTCTGCACTCAGGGATTACTCTCAGCAGGTTCCCTGTGACCAAGTGGGCTTCTGAGGATAAAACTCGTATCAGACACATTCAAGGTTAGTTCCTTACTCACCTTACTCTCTCCCAGCCCAATTGTGATGTTGCTTCTGACCTTAGAGTGGGTGGAGAACCAGAACTTTCTCAAAGGAACTTCGTCAGCTAACCCTATTCCTGAACAATGGCATTTTCAGCTTCCCTGACTGAGATCCCAGCAGAGGCCAGCTGCCCTCGCTGTCTGGATTACCTGAGAGAACCAGTGACCCTTGAGTGGGGGCACAACTTCTGTGACTCCTGCATCCACCAGTGCTGGGTTGACCTCCAGGACGTCTTCCCGTGTCCCGTCTGCCTCCGCCACTGCCCTGACAGGAACTTCAAGAGGAACAAACAATTGTGTCACATCACAGAAGTCCTTAAGCAGCTCCCCACTGGAAGGAGCAAAAGGAAATGGCAGGCAGAGGAACCCCTGTGTGAGAAGCACAATGAGGCCGTGGACCTGTTCTGTGAGGAGGACCAGGAGCTGTTGTGTCCTCAGTGTCGAGTTTCCACTCACAACCAGGGTCACCACCTGATCCCCACTGACAGAGCTGCAGAGAGTCAAAGGAAGAAGCTCAAAGGATTCATAGAACTTCTGAAGACAAAGATGAGCGATGCTAAGAAGGAGTGTGAAAATCAAATTGCACAGAGTGTGGGAGGGAGGTGGAAGATAGCGTCTTGGAAAGGAGAACTACAAGCTGAACTTGAGCAATTCAAACTTTCCTTGAGAGACGAGCAATTTTCAATTCATGCCAGCTTGCTCAATAGGGAGAGAGAGATGGAAGAAAAGATAGCGCAGAATAAGAGTCAAATTTTAAGCAGTATGGACACGGTGAAAAATCTCTTACGTGACATAACAGAGAAGTGTTTGCAGGCTGACCAGGATTTTCTAGCAACTGCTGAGAACCTTCAGCATAGGTATAAAAACCCACTCTTCCCTACAGTCTCCTCATATGAATTCAAGAATGAGAGCTACACACTTCCTCCCAATTATGTTGTTCTGCACAAAATGATGAGCAAATTCCAGGATCCTAAGACTGCCCATCCAAGTCTGACTGTCTCCAAAGATAGAAAAAGAGTCAACCTTATAACAAGTCTCCCACTCCTGCTGGATCACCCCCATGTTGAGAATACTCCTTTCCTAGGTGTGCTGTGTTGTGAGGCCTTTGATGGAGGCAGGCATTTTTGGCAGGTAGAAGTGAAAGGCATAGGTAAATGTTCCCTCGGAGTGTGTGAAAAATCTTTCTGCAATCATATTTTGACACTTCCCTACTCTGTAAGTGAAATATGGCAATGAGATCTAGCCTTAACTCTCCCTGGTAATATGTGCATTGAACAGCCAGAAAAAAATTTGAGAACACGAATTGGCGTTTTTCTGGATTATGAAATGGGAGAACTTTCTGTTTTTAATATGACTAACAGGTCATGTTTGCTTAGGCTCACTGGTACATTCTCAGAAAAAGTGATACCCTATTTTGCGATTGGACTTTTATCGAATTCTCTTTCAATGTATATCATTAGAGACTAATGATGTGAGCATACTGGAGGATAATGTGGTATGTGCTATGTTTCCTTCCCCTGATGTTGAAACGTTCACTGTAAATAAAGCTTTTCGAACATCTCCTAAAGCCTTCTTTCCCCCTGTCCCCTTTCCTGTTTGCCTGGGAAAACTGACAGGAGAGACTTTTGTATCAAGTGAATCTCTTAAGCCAAGCAAGTCCCTAGAAATGCTAGAATCATCACCGCACCCCAGCCACTAGTCCACAGAACACCTAAAATACTTGTCTTGGGCAACTTCAGTTCATTGGCGACCTACTGTGTATTTTTAGCTCATGTGTTTCTAGTTTATTATTTTCCCATAGTTATCTCTGTTTCGAAAATTCCTAGACACTTTCTACTATGCTATTTTGTACTGCATTTGCAGAGTTTTGCTCGTTCTCAAGAATTTCTCCAGCTTTTTAAGCTATTTCCTCCATCTAGTTACTGAAATTAAAAAATATACTTATGGGTTGTTCTCCTTAATGTTTTATGTTTTAACCAGGTATAGCCCAAATGTGTGGTAATGAAGCTTATTGTAAGTAATGGTATAAGAAGGCTGGAAGCTAGTATTATTCAGATTTAATTTGGCATATGAGTTTAAGTTCCGGCTGGAGTGAACGCAGGAGTTTGAGCATTTTGCCTTGCCATGGTCGACCCAGGTTCAATTCCTCTGCCCCTTTCAGAGAGCCTGGCAAGCTACTGAGAGTATCCAGCCCTCACAGCAAAGCCTGGCAAACTCCCCATGAAGTATTCGATATGCCAAAAAAAAAAAAATAAGAACAAGTCTCATAATGGAGACGTTTCTTGTGCCGGCTCGAGCAAATTGATGAACCACAGGACTACAGTGCTATTCATTTAAATTAAATTTTGCAATGAAATTAGAAATATTCTTTAAGTATTATCTAACAGATAAGAGTTATCTTGTGTTCAGCAGGATAAAGTTTTTCCACAGGCACTGATGTGGCCCTCAGGGGATGTGAGGAGACAGTTACAGGGCAAAGGGCACAGGCCAGGACAGCATCCACAGGGTGGACTGGGTGAAGTTTTGGAATGAGAAAATTATTCTAGGAAAGAAGCAGGAAGTAACTAATTGATGAGGTTGACATGTCAATCAAAATATAATTTCCATACTAGATAGAAAACAATATCACAGGCCTCCAGACGTCCCTGAAAACGGTTGATTGTGAAGATCATGGGATTTGTATATCACTTATACTTTCTAGGAGAAATTGATATTTCCTAGTAAAGACTTCTGGATTTCAGTTTGATCCTATCAAACATTGAACAGAGATACAAGAAGTCAGGGAAAGCCCTAAAAGTGCAAAGATCACACGTGTTCACAGCCCTGGCTGCGGAACTTCATTTTCTTGGTTTTGGTTTTCGTTTTTGGTTTTCCTTTGGGGTGATACTCAGCTGTGCTCAAGGTGTACTTCTGGCTCTGTCCTAAGGTATCTCTCATGGTGGACTTGAGGGAAAAACTATATGGGGTTGGTGCAAGGCAAATGTCCTACCTGCTGTATTCTTTCCCACCCCTTCATTTTATTGTTGGGGAGTCCCTACCTTATAACCTGAACTTTTGTGTGTTCTCTCAGCTCAGCTCCAGGCCAACCCTGCACTGCCTCTACTCAGAGAGACCTGAGGTCTTTGCTGGTTGGAATCTGAATTGTCCCACCCACTTTGTGAAAATTCCATCATGGTTATCACAGGATTTCACATCTACAGTTATAGGCCAGAATGTATTTTAACCAATAACGCTGGCCTTACACGCAAACCCATATTCAATTTCTGTCACCTCAATTGTATACCAGGCATTGCCAAGAGGGATCCCTAAGAACAGAATGCAGGAATAAGCCCTGAGCAATGCGAGGTGTGACCCCCAAACTACTTTATATTTATATTCATATAATACCCCCCAAATCATCTTCCTTTTTAAAGTAAAATTTCTATAGAGAGAGATTATGAAGAATGAAAGAGGAGAATACCTCATTCAGAGAAAACATGGGCTTCTATGGAGGACAGAACTGGGAGCGCAATATCAGGTTTGAGACGCAGGGGAAGAGTAGTTTCATAAATGTTATCCTAAGCTGCCCCCAGATGGAGCGTTATGCCTACAGAAAAATCAGTCCATTGCACAAAGGCAGAACTGCAGACCAATGGAACAGGTTTGAATACACTGACATCTCCCCTCAACCATGTGATCATCTAATCTTCGATAAAGGTGCAAGAAATGTGAAGTGGAGTAAGGAAAGCCTCTTTAACAAATTGTGCTGGCATCACTGGACGGCTACATGCAAAAAAAATGGGCTCAGAACTCTGCCTAGACCATGTACAAAAGTAAGATCAAAATGGATTAAAGACCTCAACATCACAGCAGAAACCATAAAGTACATTGAAGACAAAGTTGGCAAAACCCTCCATGACATTGAGGCTAATGGTATTTTCAAAGACGCCACGCCACTGGCTGAGCAAGTGAAAGCAGAGATAGAAAAATGGGACTATCTTTAACTAAGAAGCTTCTGCACCTCAAAAGAATCAGTGACCAAAATACAAAGACAGTCTACAGAATGAGAAAGGATATTCGCCAAATACACATCTGACCAGGTGTTGATATCAAGGATATACAAAGTACTGGTTGAACTCCACAGAAGAAAACATCGAACCCCATCAAAAAAATGAGGCAATGAAATGAACAAAAACTTTCTCAAAGAAGAAATCAGAATGGCAAAAAAACACATGAGGAAATGCTGTACATCATTAATTATCAGGGAGATGCAGATCAAAACCACAATGAGATACCATCTCACTCCTCAGAGACTGGCCCACATTCAAAAGTACAAAAGCAACCGATGCTGGCGCGGATGTGGCGAGAAAGGGACACTCCTTCACTGTTGGTGGGAATGCCGACTGGTTCAGCCATTTTGGAAAACAATATGGATGATTCTCAAAAAATTAGAAATTGAGCTCCCATTTGACACTGCAATACCACTCCTGGGAATACATCCCACAGAGGCAAAAATGTATAGTCGAAGTGACATCTGCACTTGTTCGTTCATTGCAGCACTCTTTAAAATAGCCAGAAACTGGAAGAAACCTGAGTGCCCAAGAACAGATGACTGGTTAAAGAAACTTTGGTACATCTACACAATGGAATACTAATACTATGTAGCTGTTAGAAAAGATGAAGTCATGAAATTTATATACAAGTGGTACAACATGGAAAGTATCATGCTAAGCAAAATGAGTCAGAAAGAGAGGGATAGATATAGAAAGATTGCATTCATCTGGGGGATATAAAGTAACAAGATATGAGATTAATGACCAAGAATAGCTGAGATCAGCACCAAGAGGATTACTCCATAGCTTAGAGGCCAGCCGGGCATTCTAGGGAAAAGGGCAGCTCAGATAGAGAAGGGAGCACCAAATAAATGGTGTTTGGAGGATCCTCCCAGGAGGGGAGATGCATGTAGAAAGTAGACTATGGACTGAACATGTTTGCTACTCAATGCCTCTTTTGCAGACCACAACACCCAAAAGGAGAGAGAGAACAAAAGGAATGCCCTGGCATAGAGGCAGGGTGGGATGGGGGGGATGGGGGTGGGAGGGATATTATCCATGGTGATGGAAAATGGGCAGTGATGGAGGAATGGGTATTTGATCATTGGATAATCGAAACCCAAGCACAAAAAATTGTAAATCTACAACTATACCTCATGGTGTTTCACTAATTAAAAAAAAATCAGTCCATTGCTGTGGTCTTTCTTGTCAAGAAGAGCCTTAAACTTTTGATGATCAACATTTATGTGCTTCTCACAATTTTAGACATGCTCGGGCACTTTTCCAAGGGTCCAGGATCCTATAGGTCTGTACTGGTGTCAATTAAAGTCTTATCTGCCTTACTTTCTGTGACCAAAAAATGGTTCTGTTCTTTAAAACTTGCTCATTTAGGACTAGTGAAAGTTACTTCTTCAATCTCATCTTGACTATATTAATTCTAAAGAACTCATTGCCAGTATACACCATTCCTCTTTTTTCTAAAAAACATGACAATAGAATGGACCCATAGAATAGCTGGTGGGGTATTTGCTTTGCACACACTGTCCCAGGTTCAATCCCTACGATCCTATCTGGTCCCATGTGCAGTCAGGAGTAATTTCCAAGAATAGAGCCAAAAGTAAGCCCTGAGCATCACCTGCTGTGGCCACAAAAATAAATAAATAAATAAATCACTGTCACTGTCCTCCCATTGTCCATCAATTTGCTCTAGCAGACACAGTAAAGTCTCCATTGTGACACTTGTTACTCTGTTTGGCATATCAAATACGTCGCGGGTAGTTTGCCAAGCTTTTTTTGCAAGCGGGATACTCTCAGTAGCTTGCCGGGCTCTCTGAGAGGTGTGCAGGACCCAAATCGGCCACGTCAGCCGCATGCAAGGCAAATGCCCTACTCACTGTGCTATCGCTCCCAACCTTTACATAACAGTAGGAAACAGAAATTAAAAAAAGAAATGAGCATAAGACTTTTCTCATATTATAAAAGGAAATATGACTCAATCCATGCTCCAGGTGGATGCTAGTCTTCAAGACTGTGCTGTATGCTGTCAGAGGAATAGAACGAACCAGAGCCTCCAGTTCTTTCCTCAACTTTCTGTACATGAATCATTCAGTACCTAACATGACCCAAATTGAGTTGCTCTTTCTGCTGGCAAAGGATTCACAAGTAAAACTTCCTTCTAGGAAGTTGGAGTGAAGGGTGATTATT